CAGCTCCCTGCTGATGTGATGTGCCTGGGAAAGCAGTGGAGGATGGCCCTAGTTTTTGGGCCCCTGCACCCATATGGGAGACTTGGAAGAAGCTCCTGGCTCCTGCTTTCTGACAGGCCCAGCCACAGCTATTGTGGCCATTTGGCAAAAGAACCAACAGATGGAGAATTTTTCTCTCTTCTCTCTTTCTGTGTATGTGGTGTTGCCTTTCAAGTAAATAAATAAAAATTTAAAAACAAAGAGAGAAGCAGTTATGTGCTTAGGGCCATCAAGCTACCATGTGGCAGAGCGATGACTCAAAGCCAAGTGGCAATGGTTTGCAGTCCATGTTCTTGCTCCCTACACCATGTCAACCCTCAGCTGTCAGGGACAAGTGCACAAGGAACCCTGGGCTAAGCAGAGTGAAACATGAGGCTTGGTACTGCCAGGTACAGAGGCTTCTCGGAGCTTCCTGGAGGAAATGCAGTCAACAGTACATCCCACTCCCTGACTGCCAAAGCTGTTCTTCATATAGATGACCATATATATATATATATATTTTTTTTTTTTTTTTTCCCATTTGAAAGGCAGATTTTACATAGAAAGAGGATCTTCTGTCTGCTGGTTCAATTTTCCAAATGTCTGCAATGGCCAGAGTTGAGCTGATCTAAAGCTGGGAGCTAGGAGCCTTCTCTTTGGGTCTCCCACATGCATGTAGGGTCCCAAGGCGTTGGTCCATCCTCCGCTGTTTTTTCCCAATCTATAAGCGGAGAGCTGGATGGGAAGTGAAGCAGGTAGGATATGAACCAGCACTCCCTATAGATGATCTTCCAGACTAATGTGAGATGGGGCTCTTCCCCTCTCATGCCTGCACTGAGGGAGTTAAATGCCAGGGACAGGCAGATGATTGCCAATAGCTCTTTGCTGTTGGGCAGAAGTTGACATGAGGAGTAGGGGAAACCGAACGTGTCCCTTTAGGGGTAGACATGGTCATGCTGGGCTGGGAGACTGGCGGAGCTGGGAATTTGGTGGAGAGAAAGCTGGGGGTGGAGGTGCTAGAGGCTTTGGGCCTCTAACCAATGTAGAACAATGGGCCAGCTCTGCAGTGCCAGCTTGGCATGCCATTCCTGTCATGCCACTGCTCCACCCTTACTTCCCTACTTGGCCCCCACCCTGTCTTCGAGCATTTGTTTCATGTCATAGTTTTTAAAGTGGTAGAGTTATTGGGTAGATCATGGTCCACAGACTGACAGGAAGGTATCCTAATTGACCAGTTAGGAATAGGGCTCAGACACATGTGGTCACCTTGATGAGCTGTGTGCTCAGTTGAGCTGCTGGTGTGTGCAAGACCTTAGGGGCTGCCCTCCTGCCCCTGTTATCCATCCCATTCATCCTGGCAGGACAGACTTTATAGCAGGGAGTGACAGAGTGTGAGCCACAGTGAGCTCAACCAGGGGCTCTGAAGGAGGGCACCTTTGTGGCTCTTCAGTGCACAGCCCTGTGTGGGGTCCCTGTTGAAGGGCTGCTCCTTACTCAGTGGGGAGGCTGATTTTGGCAGACCCCTGGAGACAGGGGTGATGGACCCTTTGTCTTGTCACTGCCTGCTCTCACAAGTGTCTCCTACTCTTCATTGCCTGTCTTTGAATGACCAGTGGTCTTACTGGTAGCTGTTGACTGGCTGGGACACATTGCTAGGATTTAGGCACATTTCTAGGATGCCCAGAACTGAATGGCATCCTAGCAGCAGTGTGTGCCTTTGCCTTTCCAAGGTTGTTCTAATGGCACAGTTGTGCTTGTGGCCTGGTTTGGGGCCCTGAGGTTCGCTGGGATTCCACAGTAGTTGTATCTGGGAGATGTGGGGAAAAGAGTTAACCTGCTTTTCAGGGGCCATCTTAGAATTTGGTACCTTACTTGATAGTTTTCTTTTGATCTGTATTATGTGATTGTGGCTTTTCTGGTGACCTAGATGGCAGTGTTACCTAGGGATAGTTCCTGGGTGTATTTGAGAGGAAGGTGCAAGACATAAGTGTGAAGCAATGCTAGTGTAGGGCAGCTTGACCTAACTATAGCAATGTCCTGCCGTTTGGGACCCATGAGCGCCTGAATTCCATGCATCTTTGGGGCTCAGGAGCAGAAGTGTGTATCCTCTTCCCATCTGTCACCCTCCACAGTGGCTCCTGACTTTTGCCAAGTCTCCAGTTTGATGTTCAGCCATTGTACAACTGCTCCTCTCTCCATAAGTATTTCCTAAGCTGTTGCCCCTTTGAAAAGGAATGGTTTTCTGTAGCCCCAGCAAGAGACCCTCTCAGATTCTTCCATCATCCATCCATCCATCCATCCATCCATCCATCCATCCAACCAACCAACCAACCAACCAACCAACCAACCAACCAACCAACATTTGTGAACACTGACTGTGAGGCAGGCGCTGTGTGAAACACTGGGAATGCAGTGATGAATGAGACACTGCCTCAAGTAGGCTATAGTGCAGCTTGGGAGACACACACCAGCAGCGTGTGAATGGAGCAGGTGTAATGTACCACAGACACAGAACCATGGGGAGATGGAAGCAGGTTGAGACGAGGCAAGGGGACAAGGACTCCAAAGACAGGGACAGTTGAGACAAGACCTAGGTCACAGTGAGCCTCCCTCAGAGTTGCCCTCCACTAAAGCAGTGGCTTTTTCTCTTACGGCCTTCAGTGGCAAAATCATTGTTCTCAATAAAATCCTACATGGATCACCAATAAACACAACATGCAGAAAGCACAGTGATGTTGGTTTGCTTTGGCACAGGGTGAGCAGGGAGCTGTGGGCTTGGAGGTGTCTGTGCCTCTGACCCTGACCCCCACTTTTCCTGAGGTTGATTGTCAAAGGAAACCAATTCTGGAGGTTATCAGAGACTTCAGGTTGCTTGAAGGGCCTGGAACCTTTAGTTTGTTACAAGCAGCTCTACCCAAGCAGGGCAGGTGATTCTGTCATTCCCGCCTCAGGCCCAAAATCACTGGCCAGGCTTTCCTTTTGGGCAAAAAGATGCCTACCTAGTAGAGTCAAGGGGTAGAAAAGGGTGGCAGGGTCAGAGCAGACTCACTTTCCTTTTCTTAGTCTTCCTGGTTTGGAGTGGAACTTGTGGCAAGTTGATATGTAAGGGGGTGGGGTGGGGGAGTGCTGTGGCAGACAGGTTCCCATGGCAAAGTCATGCCCTGGGGGACTTGGGAATGCAGATGTCTAGCAGTGCTGTGGTTTCTTGAATGGTCTTCCATTCATGCTAGAAGCTTTTGGGTTTTCTGGAGACTAATTTATGAGTAGGAGGAGGGAGAGAATGGGCTTGCACTGTGCTCTTTTGTCCTTCATCACCATGGAAGACTATGATCTGTTTTATAAAGGATTAGGATGCCTGTTCCATTTTGTAAGTAGAAGTTTTTGGGGAGCTCCATGAGAACTGAGGGGTGCTCAGAGGGAGTGCTGGTCAGACACCAGGTAGGAAAAGGCGCAGAGCAGGCCAGCAGAGGAAAGTGTGGCTGATTATGTGGCTGGGTTGTACCTCCACTGCTGCTTCGCAGCTCGGGTTGTTCCTAATCCTCCTTGTGTATGTATTGGTGTGGTTAATCCTCACGACCTCATGCATGAGCTATGACTGGTACCTGATTTTGCTGATGAGGAAATTAAGACAAAGAGAAGATACACAGGTCAATTAGAGGTGGAACCAGCATCCAGAGGTAATCTGGTTCCCAGGGCAAGCTCCTAGGCATTCTCTTTCTATACCTATGCTGTCTTCTATGCTACTATAACTATAACTGACCAGCTACAGAACAAACTGTGTGTATATTCTGCTTTTTCTTTTTAGAACCATCCTGGTGGAGTGGTATGAAAGAGGGTGCCAGGCTGCTTGCAGACCTGCAGAGAGGTTGGATGGCATGCAGTGCTCCCTGCTGCCACTGCTTTGCTTTAAGGCTGCTTCATGCCTCAAAGGTTGCCTCCCAGAAGGGAGCCCTCTCTGTGAGGCCAGGGACTCTGAGGGCTGTGGGCAGAGAGAGGAACATGCTGGCCTACCTTCAGCATCACCAAGGCTCACAGCACCCCCTGCACCCTTAATCTATGATAGCCTCAGGCATACTTGCTTTTTACAAAGCAGGTGCTTTCTAGCCATGTGACTTGGTACAAGGTTGTAAGACAAGGACAACTCGGCACACAGTCAGATCTTCAGCAGCCCAGTCCAGTGTGTGTAGACCAGTGGTTTCCAGAGTTGACTCTGCCCATCCAGATCCTCTGCCCGAGCCACCTTTGTGTTCTTTGGCTGTTTCTGTGGTCTTCCATTCATGCTAGAAGCTTTTGGGTTTTCTGGAGACTAATTTATGAGTAGGAGGAGGGAGAGAATGGGCTTGCACTGTGCTCTTTTGTCCTTCATCACCATGGAAGACTATGATCTGTTTTATAAAGGATTAGGATGCCTGTTCCATTTTGTAAGTAGAAGTTTTAGGATTTTTTTTTTAAATGGAATTAAACATTAAGTGTGAAAACTCCAACATAGAGACCAACAGAAAATGCTATTCTGTTCAAACTTACAGCCTGTAGGAAAAATTTCAAAAATACTCCTTCAAAGAGTCTAGCAGCAAGCCTCCCATTTAAGCTTTGCAACTGTTACAGGCTGTCTGTCTCACATGTATCACTTTGAAATTTTACCCTTCTCATCCTGAATGATCAAATACCTTCTCTTGCTGTCTCTCATTTTGCTGCCCTGAATAGCATTGCCATTGTTCTCCAGCAGGGTATAGTTTTAGTGTCATATCATTCTGGCAAAGTATTGACGCAGACCAGCATTATTCTTGCATCAGCCTTTCTTTGTCCCCTTTCTTTAGGGCATTCAGAAAGGCAGGTGGGTTCCCAGGTTAGGGTAGACTCTAGATGCTATTTCATGGTCTGTTCTGCCCATGGTGCCCAAGCCCAGACCAGCCACTGGCACCAGTTAGAAGATGGATTCTCAGGGAGCTCAAATGCATTCAGAAGAACTTCCCCCCACTCCGTTTTGTTTCCAAAGTCAATTTATTGAATATTAAGTCATAAAGCCAGCGATATAACTTTAATGAAAAATATCCTGTATCACTCAAGACGTAAAAGAACAAGAAATACCCCTTAGAAACACTGCTTTGAAAAATAATCACATTAACTTTACACACAACAGAGTCCTTTCTTAAGCTTTATTTAAGAAATCGAGTACTATATAGTTCAATATATATAAGACACATCCAGTATTGTGTTCCTGATAGCAAGTGCATAGATTTTGTTAAGATATCATTTTTTTCACTCGATATAAACGTTTCATGGTCACATGAAGATAATATTCCCAGTGATTCTGCCCAAGCATGAGAGGAGAGAACAGAACACAGCAAAAATAGTGAACTACAACAAAAATGAAAAACAGAAACAGCAAATCAGCAGAACAGTCGATTCCTGATAAGTGAATAAGCTGATTGTTTGGTCACAACATTTTATTCACTTATCAGGAACGATTCACAGTACATCGATGTTCACTGCGTTTCCTGGCCTGCCAGCTAAGAGTCCAAGCCTCTGGACAGCGGGCGACTGCTGTGGAGCTGGGCAGACCTGGGGCTTTCTCTGCAAGGAAAATGTTGACAGGTGCTTTGTGCCTGGCAAACATGCACACCTTGCTCGGCTGCAGTGGTGTTTTTACAAGATCAACATTAGAAGTGTGAATTTAGACAGGGGCCAAGTGCTTAAAGGAACGACTATTTTTGTTCCCTTCTTTGGAGAACTATTTTTGTTTCTTGTTCAAAACAACAAAAACTGGCTTTATCTTTCCCTTCCTTTACTTAGCAGGAATATTTTGCCTCATGCTAAAAACAAACAAAAAATACATGTACTTATGTATCTTAAAAATAAACACTTGCATCTTGAAAAGAATTTAATCACCCTGTTTCTCCCACCCCTTCCCCTCCCTTTTCCTCCCAAGCCCTTCCCTCTAAAAAGGAAGAAAGAAAAAAAAAATCACACCCTTAGCGATCGTTTCCCCACTGATGGAAACAGTGGGTTTCTGGAGGCGTACTGATGAAGGCTATGATGAGATTTAAAGCAGAAGTGTCAGCAGGACGCCAGCTCCCATCTGTGCAGGTGTGGAGCTGGTACAGTCACTATCACTGAGGTGTTGGCCTACGGCAGCATGGGCCTCCTTCCCACCATGCCCCAGGCCCCTCTGTGATTGAGCCAACTATATACTACAATCTGGGGGCCGGAGTGGTGCAGAGCCCGAGCACCAGCAGGGCCGGGTGGCACTGGCCCCCAGAGGAAGTCGGCCAGGTGCTAGGCGGTCTGAGTCAGACAGCGCCTTGTGCGTTAGCTGGGTTGGAAGGAGAGAGGAGACACAGGGAGCAAACACTGATGGAATCTTTTAAGAGCACTTTAAGAGCAGTCAGATTCCTGAGCTTAGGAGATAGGAAGAGGAGTGCTTGTGGCTTCAGTTTAAGAGGGCATGTAAGGAATGGCTGTCTTTTGTTGATAACTTGGAGACAAGGCTTATTAAGTGTGTTGACCCAGGAGGGAGGGAGGGTGTGGATGCTTATGGCACTCTGAGCTTCCACATGTACAAATGGACAACAGACTGGGGACTTGGGCTTGAGAAACTTGACCCCTCCCTCCAGGCTGATTAGAGCTAGTGTTTGAGCACTTGGAAATACTTCTTTGCTCTTCTGTTAGTTTTAATCATTCAACATGCTCCTGATTCATTAACCCCCAAGAAAAAAGTTAACTTTTCTGTACCAACACACAGATTTGTTTAATCCTTTGCACATCTTTTCCTTGAGAGTTCACCCCCTTAATAACCAGGAGTTTGACTGTAATGCTACGTCTGTGGGTGTGTGGCCTTGGGTAGACAGGGGAGCCCAGATCGTCTCAAGGCCATGTGGCAGTAGCTTTTAAACCTTATGAACTACAGATTATGTATGCACACTAGAGAGGGGGGAGAGAAGGTGAAGTGAGCCTGTGTGGTCAAAAGGTCGTAACAGCTCTGCAGGCAGTTACTGATGTGAACCATAGAAGGAGTGTATTCCTCTTGGAATAGTGGTCAGGGTGTACTGTGGTTCAGAAATTAAAGGTGGCTGGCGGGGCGTTTTCCCTCCCCCAAATCAGATATTCACTTAGGTGGAATCGACTGTATCTTTTTACACAACATAGAGAAAAGAACAGATACGTGAAACAGTGAAGTGTGTAGATGTATCACCAACACATAATGACTACCAACAATACAACACGCAGAGAGAGAAACAAGTATTAGGAAAATGGTTTAATATTGGAGACAGAAGCAAAAAACTGCATCACACAATAACATACATTACAAAAATAAGTTTGACTGTTTCAACTACACGGTTATGTTCACAATGAGGACAGAAGAATTGGAAAAAACTTTGATCTAAACAGCAAAAAAGCAAACCCCTAAAGTTTAACTAATACATTTATCCACTTAAAGTGACTGAGTACTTCTAAATCTAATTACCTTATTGTGTAACTGCACAATACAGAATAAAAAGTGAAACTTACCGCTGTATTTTAAGACAAAATTCTAAATGCTAGATATAAGCAAAGAGAAAAAGAAATCAAGCCAAAGTTTTTAATTCTCAAAAGAAAAGCAACTTTCTTCCTGTCAACCAGAAATCAAACTTGAAGTCAGTCATTGTCAGGGGGCCCACAAGAGTAAGCCACAAAAATTTCCATTTTTTTAATCTCCAGTATAAAAAGTTCCACTGGTACAAAATGCAGAAGTACAATCAGTAATAGAAATAGGAAAGCCTGTGGGATTTTTTTTTTTTGGCTCAAATTCCATCAAACAACAAAATCCAAATGCATCAATAAAACAAACAATACTCAAATGGTCTTACAGTTTCCACTAGGTTGCATTAACTTTGGCTTTTCTCAGACAATATTTAAAAACTATTTTGTAATTCTAAACAAAATGATATTAATCTACAAACAGCAATTCTCACATCACAAAAAAACACAAATACATTTTTTGTATGACATTATTCAAAAAGGTAATGAAACTACAGTTTTTTTTTAAGTTTTATTTCTCCTTTTTAAGTAGCACTGAAGATAATAAAAACAAACAGTAAAATGATTCCAGAGTAGCACAAGCCAAAGAACTATAACCCCTATGGTGAAAGAAAGATGAACTCGTCACACCTTTGATGACTGCCATTTTATCACAATTTTCTAATTTAGTTTAAAAAATGACTATTCTCTACACTTGATTTAAAAAAAAAGTTTCCCTGTGTGTGTTTCTTCTGGCACAGGCCCTTTGCACCCTTACAGCTTTTTCCTTTTTATATCAGAAGATAAAGTGAACAGCAAGCTCAGAGGACAGTTTGTCTTAGAGGAAGGTCATATTTTTCACAATGTAGTATGCACAAAAAAAAAAAAAAAAGAAAGAAAAAAGTCTTTCCCCCCTAGATGTACTGTCTTGTTTTTTCAGCAAAATAGAAAATACTCCTAGTGCCCGCCTGGCGCCCCCTGTTGGCGGCCTGTCATTGTTCCTCCGGGGAGGTGCAGGTGTTTTATAAGGAAGAGGGCATGAGCAGGGCAGCTGGTTTTGGTGAAGAACTCAAAACACTCTAAAGTTGATGTGGTTGGTACATGAAGGTATTCTGAAGGAAACGGCCTATTAATTTCCAACAGTACCCTCTTGTCTTTCTACAGATGTATCTACACACCACCATATAATACTTCGGAGAGAGCCGTGTGCGGTAATTTTTGTTCGTAAGCTGAGTGCTGCAGGAAGTACAAAATAGCCCTCAGAGGATGAAGGAAGGCCCCAGCAGTAGTAAACACGTGTGAGGATAATACAATTCATTTCACTGTAAGTGCATGTGCTATAAGAAGGAAACTCTTGTGTTTTTTTTTTTTTAATTTATTATTATTTTTTGCATCATTAGAGGCTAGTCCTTTCCATCCCAGGGCTATCGCATCCACACACACACACAGAACCAAACGGGGTGGTGGTGACTGGGATGTGGGGGAAGGCAAGGGAGCTAAGAACAAGAAACTTGCAGAGTGCCCCAGGGGCTGTGGTGGCTGCAGCTGTGACGTCAAGGGTTCCTCTGTTCACGGAAGGTGGAGTGGTATGGCACTTGACAAAGCGGCAGCAGGAACTATTTCTCAGTGTCTGGTCAGTAACTGTGATGCAAAACTGAGCTTTACCTCTACATCACACCCCTTCAAATGCGTCCTTTTTTTTTTTATTTTTTGTTTTTAAAGATAAGGAAAGACTAGTTGGCTACTAGCTCCAGACACCTTGCTTAATATGGCAGTATCCACTGGGGTCCCAGACTCCATGGCTGATTAGGAGTATTTAAGTAGCAAAAGCAAAATCCTGCAAAAGACTCTCCCATCACATTTAACTGCAAGATGCTTGAAGTTATTCTGGACCACAGCATAGCACTTACCCCAATCTGAAAAGCACGCAGCGTTTTCGGGATGCACTGAGGTGATGGCGCTGCCTCAGCCTCCCCTAGGAGGGTATATCTAGCAAACTTTTTTTTTAAAATTGAAATGAAGCAGGCATTCCAGCAGCACGTTAGGAATTCTTTCTTTTAAAATGACCAGAAATGACCCAAAGTTAAAAAAAGAAGATAGTATTGGGGAGTATTATTTTTCCCCTTCAGATTTGCCTTACGAGTTTTTTTCCCACTTGGGTCTCAGCCAAAGGGGAAACAAAAAACCCTTTATGATAGAAACATGCGTAAACCAAAATCCAAATTAGAAACACCCCAAAACAAATTCAGATGATGACAGTATAAAAAAGTATCAACATTCCAGATAGCTCTGGGTAGAAAGGGTTAGAAGTTCAAAACTTTCTCACCTTAGAGGTTTCCATAGATTATGAAGAAAATACATTGTGAGGTTGCCTTCACAGCATTGATGTGCAGAGTGGTTAAAAAAGTGAGACATGGGCACTTATACAATGTCTTACAAAAAACATCATAGAGAAATAACAAACAATAACAATTTCAGGCAACAAGACCACAGGATAGCAAGTTAACAAACTTTTTAACCTTTTTTTTTTAAATATTAGGGATTTATACAAAACACATAATAAAATACCCATGTTATCAAATTACTTCTCACAAGAAACACACTGAAGCTCTAGGAAGGAAGTACCTTTGGAATTTGGCACTATATATTTTCACTTTTTTTCTTTAAAAGAAAAAAAAAACAGATCACATTTTGCTGAACACAAACACGTCTAAATAGTCCACGATAAAAAAAAATGACATCGATGCTTCACAAGCCAACACAAAACTTATTTCTGGAATAGTTTTTTTTTTTCCCTCACATGAAATTTTTTTTTAAGCAAACAACTTTTTTTTTTTTGAAATTCTTTTTTTTTTGTTTTAAGTAAACCAATTCTAAACTTGTCTTATCAACAGAGAACATTAAGACCATAAGACTCATGATGAAACCACAACTTAATTCACAGAAGCACCAACAGAACACAGTTTACAGTAACCTTTCTCCTGTACATTGAAACAGTATAAAATATAGGTAATTTCATGTGCATTAAACCATGGATTGTCTAACTGTGAGTCAGTTCAGCAAAAGGTGACACAAATAGGTAGCATTTGCCCCAAAACAGGGTAAATATTTTTCTTATACTAATCTACAAAAAGTGGATCTATATATATATCTTAATGAGAAAGTGAGCCACCTAAAATGGCCTTATCAAAAAACTTTACACTGCCTGAAAAATGTAAAAACTATTACAGACCTCTAGAGACTTAAAATCAGACAGTTTTTTTTCTCAAACTGTTTTTGGAAGTAGTCTGTTAGAAACCAACATTCTGTGTCCCTGGACACATATTGCTATTGTTACCAGTGACCGGGAAGAATGCCAATCCCTGTATAATACTTTCAAGTCTGTTTTATGAAAAGAAAAAAAAAAAGTACGAAAGAAACATTTTTGCCACAGGTTTTTTTTTTCTATAATTAATTTGTCTAATAATAAATTTCAGTCTTGCATGAATGCAGCAATGTTTTTCACATTGACTTCCCAGAATTCATAGCTAGATGAGGTCACATGCAAATTTCAAAGGTCAAACTAGATCAAAGGTCAGTAGGAGAACCAAATATGATGTGAGGTCAGAAAGACATCAGAAACAATGACGGGACGATGAAACTTTTTTTTTTTTGAGACGCCACAGGGACATGCTAGGCAAACGATGAACTAACGGGCATGAAGATGTCTAGGGAAAAAACAAGGAAGAGTAAAAAGTTACACAGAATCTATGCAGCAGCAACAAAATCACTTTCAAGGGTGCAGGAGAAAAACTAATGCAAATCTCAGGTCATTAGGGAATCTAGGAGCCATTCGCGTAATTTGCATTTCTTACACTCTTTATCCACAGCACAATGAAACCCCAAGAGAATCCATCTGGAGAGTGAGTGGGGATGGATTCCAGGTGGTTTGGGGTGAGGGACTGGCAAGGGACAGGGGAGAGGGTCCAGTTTCAACGAAGGTGACATGGAGGTGGGGGAGAGTCAGACGACCAAACTGTAAACTAGATCATGGAAGTTACGAACGAAATAATCGAGACAGATACAAACAACGAGAGGATAAAGCATGAACTTTTAGGTCTAGGGTTCAACGGTGAAAAAAAGCCCATTCCTAGAACAATTCCTCTAGAGACTACTTCAGAAGGTTCTAGCTAGACAGAGAACTGCTCTTTAGGTACCCAATAAGTTAACAATAGGAAATAAATAACTTCCATTATTTCTGAGGCAGTAAAAATTTTGTATAAAAATAGAAATGCTTTTTTTACAAATAAAATTTACAGGCCTGTGGCTTTCTTTTTATTTATGTATTTATGTATTTATTTATTATTATTAAATTTATCTTTCAAGAAACATCAAGTATTTTCACTCATTTTTATTTTATTTTTAAACCCTGTAGCTTTAAGAAACAGATCTCTAAATCTTTTTTTACATTAATCCTTTCTAAAAACTAAAATAAAACAACAAAATTGACAACCAGTGTAATAATCTCACCAGTAAATGCTCATGTTTCTTTGAACCCTAAAATAAAATCCTACCCATTAAAACAAACCGATGTAGTGGAAAGACGTTTTGTGGTGTTTTGAGTAAGTGCTTCTCCTGGCTTCTCCCTCTCACTAGGCCACCAAAGGAACCCCTAGGTGCTGGGGCCCGTGGAGGGGCGGACGCCAGGCAAGGAGGGGCGAGTTCTCCAGGCAGTGCTCTTGGGGCACCAGTGGTTTCAGAGTTAGAATTGCACGTTAGCATTTTAAATTCTCAAGATGGCATATATCTATGTGTGTATGTTTTTCTTAAAAAAAAATGAAAAAAAATTTAGAAAAGCTAAAAGGAGATTCAAATTGCAAAACAAATGATAATACAGTGGCACAACTGAAGGAGGAATTTTACTCAATAGAAACAAGATAGCCCGAGTTTTAATTATGGCAAACTGGGCCAGGGGGAAATGGGTGGGGGAAATGGAGGCCTTATTGTAAAAAATAAGTCTCTCTCTTGGTCAAACTTGGCCACATGTGGTCCTCCTCCTCTCTGCCTTCCCTGTTGGGAACAGGCTGGCTTGTGGGACTTACCCTAAGAAAGCTAAAATAAGAGCAGGGAGCCTCTGGGGTTAGGATCAGTAAGGTTTGCTGTCGTTTTTGGAGCGCTTCAGCTGCACCTTCAAGCGTTTCATGCCGATCTGAAAGCCATTCATAGCTTGTATAGCAGCTTGTGCCGAGACTGGATTGTCGTAGCTAACAAAACCTGGAAAACACAAAGGGCCAGAGGGAGGGAGTCAGCCGGGCAGGAAGCAGCACAGGAAAGGGGAACCAGGGCTTGTGGGGATGGGAGCGAGCGGGTGCCGAGCCCACGGTCTTCATTTATTTTTGCTCAGTTTCTTATTGCTGTGAATGTGCAGGGCATGTTTTGGGGGAAAACACGTGGAATGGCCACTTGGCAGCAGTGACAAGGCTAGGTGGACTGGGTGGTACAACAAAACCTCTACCTGGAAAGTAAAATTCTCAAACTCAGTTTCTAAGTGAATTTGATTTCTTCTTTTACTGATTTGTTGTCAACTCAGCTTGTGTTTTATGTCCCTTAGAAACCTCATGAAAGACACCTGGTAGACAAATCAGTACTACTCATACAAGCAGTGGCATGGGCATGAATGTCCCATGGCTTAAAGGGCTCCCCGGAACTTCACATGTCCCAACCAGGTAAGGCCTGAAAGGCAGGTGAGTTCAGGGAGGGGCTGATAGCAGGATGGATACTGTCCAAGAGCCTGGCTGGCTGGCCAATTCTGTGTATCTTTAGACACATCTCAGTGTCTGTCTGGCTACAGATGGATTGGTTAGTGAATTAAGTCTAGAAAAATATAACCTTGGTGTTGTGTTTCTTTAAAAGACATTTTGAGGTTAATATTGAGAACTTATTTTCAAAGCTGCAGTACATTCAAGATAGGAACCTGCTCTGTTGTATCTCCCAAAGTCTTGGGGAATAAATAGTCAAAATGACTCAGGGCTTAACAGATCCTAAGAGTTTCTAGTATGTTTCTCTGGTCCATGGCTCAACAGCCGGCATCATCAGCAAGGATTTGAAGGGCATGCTTCTGGAAAAGCACTACTGGTGTTCTACAAAGCCCAGAAACAGAATTCCAATTTGACAGTTTGTTCCAATATTGGTGGATAAAGCAGGACAGAGGTAAGTAAAGCTTTAAGTTAATCCTAACGCGAGTGGTGAGTTTGTACAGCACCAGCTTCCTTTTGCTGTTGAAAGTAAGCTATATTATGGATTGAGTTCCGAACTTACCAGTTGTTCAGAAGAACCTATGCTAAGTGTCTGAATCATTCTACTGTTAAAGAGAAAATTCCTTTACAAAACTAGAGGAGGAAGAGAGGGGCTACTCTTTAAAGAGTCCTCTCTGTAGTTGGTAGGAGTGGGCACACAACATAAGGCAGGAAAAGCTCTGCACAGGCTGTACTGAAGAATGATCATTTAAATTTGTATTCAACATAATTCTTAGCAAATGTGATCTTTAAGACTTTTGCCCTGACTTCACTGTCCCCCTGTGCTCTAGATGTTATTTATTTATTTATTTGAAACATTGATATGTGTATCTTCCATCTCTGGTTCACTCTGCAAATCACTGCAACACCTGGGTGTGGACCAGGCTGATCCTAGGAACTCTATATTGGTTTCCCCTGTGGGTAGCAGGGACCCAAATACTTGGGCCATCTTCTGCCTTCCCAGGTGCACTGGCAAGGTGCTAGTTTAGAAGCACAGTTGCTGGGAGTTGAGCCAGCATTCAAAAACGGAAGCTGGTGGTGGGGCTGGTCCATGGCTCAATAGGCTGATCCTCCATCTTTAAGCACTGCCATCCCATACCAGTGCAGGTTCCTCTCCTGGCTGTTCCACTTCCAATCCAGCTCCCTGTTCGTGGTGTGGAAAGCAGTAGAGATGGCCCATATCTGTGAGACACTGTACCCACTTGGGAGATCCAGAAGAGACTCCTGGCTCTGGTTTAACACAGCTCTGGCCTTTGTAACCCTTTGGGAGTGAACCAGGGGATGGGAGATTTTTCCTTCTGTGTCTCCTTATTTCTATAAATCCGCCTTTCCAATAAATATGTGGTGGTGTTGCAAGCAGTAGCTTACCAGCCATGCATGCTGCAACACCAGACACTCCCTCTGGGCTTTTTTATGCAGAAGGAGTAGAAGATTAAAGAATGGAAATGAGTTCAAAAGATGAATAACGAAACCCAGCCAAGAGGTACAGTACGAACGGAAGAATGGGATAGTACCTTGTGACTAGTGTTTTAGCAAACTGGTAACCCTGAGAAATTAGGCTGGCTCACTGAGAAACTTGGTGTGCTAAGCCTTTTAATAATAGTGGAAAACATAGTCCTTAATGATAAATCCTTGCTATGACTTGTACTATGGTTTGCACTGTGTGAACATACTGGTTAGTCTGTGGACTGATACACTCTCCTTAAGCGAGTAAATATTTTCTCATATCAAACAAAGTGCAATCCCTTTCCAATCTTTGTACAAGCCTAGGACTCTTTAGCTTTGAGAAACAGAAAATCTGGCCTCCAAATCTTTGTGTAGGCAAGGTTCCCAAAGGTTAGCTCATGCTCTGACATACATACACCCTCTATAACCATTTCATTTTCATTTCGCTCTCTCGTGGACCATTACAGAGGCGTGTACATAGCTGTCTTGGCAGCAGTAATGTAATGGGTTCAGGCTGACAGCTTTCCACCAGTGTGAAAACAGCCACTTTACCTGGTTGACACACTAATTCCCCCAACAGCAGAGGCTTTGGACCTTACTGGATGATGGCACAGAAATGAGAAATATGTTACAATAAGGGAGTCCTAGCAGCCAAGTGCTCTGTTTGGATTATTTACCCTGATACTGGTCAGCCAAACAGTAAATTTTACAGTTGTTTTTTTTTTGGGGGGGTGAGGTGGGGTTGGGGGAAGGGAGTGGTGATTTGGGACCCACCCTATGTTTGATATTTTTCTTTATGATATGTAATAGTGTGTATTCTGTCTGGCTCACATCTACTCCACTTTGTTTTATGTTCTTGTCACTACTTACTTCCAACATGAATTATAGGACTGAAGAAAACAAATGCGCACACTGAGCCAGACCTTGCTGAGCAACGCATCCACTGCACATCCTGACTTCTAGACAACTTTGGAGGCAAAAGGGGTGACTTCAGGGGTGTCACCTTCCTGGTAGGTAACAGGAGTGGAAGCTGGCTGTCTAACGAAGGAGAGGCACAGCACCTTGTGTCCCAAGCACCTGGCTTTCCAAGTGTCCTCACTCTCATTCGTGCAGCTCCTACCAATCTTTTAATTCCAAATTATGACCTCTGGATGCAGTATTCCAGATTCATGACGTGATCACTCAGCCAACCATCCTCTGCACAAGGAGCTGCAGTTTGGCAACGGTTTGACACATCCTTGCTTGTGAATGTGTACATCCTTAGGAAAGTGCTGTGTGTAAGTCGAGATGCTCCACAGTGCAGCACCCACTAACTCCCCCCACCCTCCCGGCCTCGTACAGTGTTTACCCACAACCCAAGTGTTTGAGTAATACGAAACATGGAGGGGTAAAGAATTAGTGGCAGCATCTGTGATACTGTCTCTTTCAGGAGGACTCAACCTACAGCCTGTTAACTGTATTTGTATCGATGAAAGGACCGTGGTTCAATTCATGGGGCTTGCCCAAATGACTGTTGTGCAATAGTGAGATTATTAGGAAAATGTATTAAGGCAGTTTAGTAGTAGAGAAAAAAAAAACCACATTAGCTAATGTATGGGCATATGTTTTAATTTCCCAGATGCTTCCTTTTCATGGAGCCATTCCTCCCCTCCCCCCTTTCTTGCATGTGATTCTGTAACACCACTTGAATCTGCTTCCATGTTATCTGGAAAAGCAGAAGCCGCCACAAAGGGAAGAGCCTATCTGACTCTGGAAATAGTTTTCATTCCACATTTTCCTTCTGATGACTCCTCATTTAGGAATCTGTTAACAATAATCTAGCTTGGTTTCTTTTGCATACCAAAGCACTTGCTCAGATTGGTCTGTTTGTCAATGAAGACTTTAGCAGAGATAACATTTCCAAAAGGCATGAACATCTGCAGAATGTCCTGGTCTCCAAACTCCTGTGGAAGATGGTAAATAAAGAGGTTTGCCCCCTCTGGACCTAAAGAGGAAAAAAAAATCAGAGTAAGGTATCCCTGGAGTCTAATTCCCCACAGCCGCCTCTTAGTAATTCTGGAAAAGCAGTACAGAGGCTAAGGATTCCCCTTCCTCTCACTCTAAAAGAGGATAATAAATGTCAAGTGCTGGTATGTCTTTGAAGAAAATGTCCATTCTTCAGATTTTCCTGATTTTCAGGGAGTGGCTACAAAAGGCTTTCCTTTCCCTGATAGTATGCTGTGGTCCCAAAGTACTTACTGCTTACATTTGAGTCTCCTCTTCACAGGATGTGTAGGTAGCAGTCATCTAGAGTCATTCTAGAGAATCTAGGCTTCATTTTTTTTCCCTGCATGGCCAGTTTCTCTTACATGTAGACTGGCTCTCAGTGGGGATAATGTTGTGTGCATTCTAAGCAAATTGCAGGAGCAGAGCGTAGTGGATGTAGCAGTAATAACGCTTGGATCTCTCAATCTTTTTACCTAGTTATCGAGCCAGTTGATTTGCTAAATCTCTTAACGCACAGTCTAATAACCAGAATCTTTATTAGAAATGACTAGTAGCAGGTTGGCAGAGAGCAAAAGAAAAAAAGAGGAAGTTGGAGTTGATGGGAATCACACCACGGGGAACTAGGCTGGAAACGGGGAACTAGGCTGGAAACGAATGCAGTGAGTGTAGGAAGAGGGAGTGAGCTGGAGTTGTCACCTGCACCTATCCTTTCCCAAGTAGATACAAGAGACAAGATGGAGGAAAGAAGCCCTTCTCAGCCACGCTGATTATAGAGGTAAGCTCTTTTTAAAGTTCCTCTCCATTTTCCTTTCCTAATTTTGCAGTCTACCTGTGTAAGAGTTATCTGAAAGTTAGCAGCAACACGAGGAGGTGGGCAGAGATGACCAGGTGAGTTGGGTATAGAGTGAAGGCTGGATGCCTGCTGGCATTCCAGGCGTGGTGACCCAGAAGGGAGCTCACAGCACTACTGAAGTGACTTCTGCACTTGGTTCATGGATCTTCCAATGGCATTTACAGGAGAGGGCAGACCTGCCCGTCCCACTGGGAAGTGCCAGGGGGTGGAGTACGGTGGGTTGCCTGGATAAGGGGGAGGGAGTTTCTATGTGTATGGAGGAAAGAAAAACAAGATGGACATAAAAATATTTAAGTAAAATGGCTAAACGGATTTGAAAAGATGTAAAACCAAGTTTTTTTTGCTCCCACAAAATAAAATGTCCTAATGAATGAGGCTTTTCGCAGGGAGCCTTTCTTGAGGCAGACTTCTTCCCTATTCATAATGTGTCTAGGAGAATACACAGTCTCTATGGCCGTATCCGCAATTCCACACGAGAATAGTTTGTCTTTCAAAGAGGCATAACTATAGGGTTCAAATCCCCAAATACTTTCTGGTTTAAAAAATGCACCATTTAGTATGAATAGATGCACAAACCAAAACACCGTCAATAGATGCGCTTAGTGCTCCTGTGCCATGCAAACCCTTTGTAATATGTATACTGTTCAAGTCTGGTAGCACCAGGTTTAATGCTCCTTGTAAATCAAAGATCCAAGTGCACAAATGAGGATTAATGGGCCCCAGCTTGTATTGTGCGATTCATCTTACCTCCTGTAGCCTGGGGAGAAAATACAATTTTAATGCTCAGGATAGATTACTGGGTATGCCTGAATAATCCTGTATTCTAGAATGTAGTTATTTAGAGACAACAGGAAAATATGGACACAGAGCTGCAAACCCAAGCAGGTTTTGCTTTTCTGCTTTTTTTCCTACGGGGGACAAAAAAAAACCCATCAAAAACATTTTGTATAGTATACCTTAAGCTTTATTATGACTAAGGAATGATGGGCTTTGGCAAGCTATAAAAATTTCTAACATTAAAATGAGAAAAGGGTGATTTAAGAGGGTTGATAGCAATGGAAAAAAAAGGCAGATTTTTCTGCTCCCAGATTTGTACCTATATATCATCTCCTCTTCTATTTCCAGAAATGACCAAAGCCTGTGCATAAATCACCCTTTTCTGTGATTTCTTCTAGTAAATATTATTTTAACTTGTGAGAGTTGCAAGTGTTCTATGAGTATTGTTGGTCCCAGTTTCTATTTTACACAGACCAGCCCTGCCAGTGTTTTGGGGAACAAAGCTGTGTAGGACCAACAGTGCCTCTGGAGTCTCCGGAGATGGTAACCACTTTTGTGTTAGATGGGGGGTGGGGGGATATGACCATGGATACTTTTGAGTAGCAAGAAAGGGGAATGACTATCATGAATTTAACTTTGTAGGGCTTTCATCACCCTTCAGAAGATGTGGTGTGAGGGAAAACTGTTTATATACAAAACTGGACTGACCCTTTTTCCTATGGGGGAAAAATACACAGGGGTATATGACATGTGAGGTTCACTTTCTGCTGTCTTGATTAAAGTGCCAGATTGTCAAGTAACATTTATTTAGCATTCGAATTCATTATATTTTACCCTCATACTATAATGTACTTCTTATGCTTCAGGTTTCTTGAACACATTGAATTAGGAAGAAAATGGATGAGAACGATGGGGAAGATTATACACAAGACTGGACAGAAACCACCACCACTGAAACCAGGCTACTAGTGCCCAAGCACCTCCATCGAAATAATCAGAACTTGGGAGCAGTTACTTTAGCCCCAGAGGGGTGGTTACTACACAAGCAATCCCTAAAACACGAGGAGTGAACTAAGGTGCAGTCCTTGGCGAACACATGTTGTGCATAAGCCACTGAAAGTGTAGCTGTGTGGTGACTGGCATCTTTTCAGTGCTCCTGGTTGTAATTTAGTTTGCTGTGAGGCCTTTGGAGACAGTCCCTTCTTCATCATCTCACAAATATATAAACTGGTTGGCTGATCTCCGTGTAAGGCTGTTCTCATCTTACAGAATCCCACCCACCACCTTATTTGTCATTGCAGTGGTCAGACCCCCAGCAGATGGGCTCAGTTCATGCTTTTTTCTGGGAAGGTATGGTGTTTATGTTGTCAATTTCCCGCTCCTTTTCCTGGTCACCCACAGCTGTGCCAGTTTAAAAAGTCTAAAAAATGGGCCCGGGGGTGTGGCCTAGCAGCTAAAGTCCTTGCCTTGAACACCCTGGGATCCCATATGGGCTCCGGTTCTAATCCCAGCAGATCCACTTCCCATCCAGCTCCCTGCTTGTGGCCTGGGAAAGCAGTCGAGGATGGTCCAAAGCTTTGGGACCCTGCACCTGTGTGGGATACCTGGAAGAAGTTCCTGGATCCTGGCTTCGGATCGGCATTAGCATCGGCCTGTTGCGCTCACTTGGGGAGTGAATCATTGGGTGGAAGATCTTCCTCTCTGTCTCTCCTCCTCTCTGTATATCTGACTTTCCAATAAATAAATAAATCTTAAAAAAAAAGTCTAAAAAAGCAGGCACAGCTGAGTAAAGAGAAAGTTGAAATGATGAAAATCAGCTTTCATACATGATGGCACTTCAAAAAGTTGGTAGAGATATGTAGATGTGCACACTCCCAATGAACTTTTTGAAGCCCTGCTGCCTTGTTTTTAATAACCACAGGAGTATTTATTTTTTGTAAATATAAGGGTTAATTTGTAAGAAAGGAAAAGATTTATCTTTTAAGCTGTGTCTCCTTAAAGCTAGAAACCTTACAAGGTAAAACCGTGCTGGTTCTTTAAACACAGTAGAATACCGTGTTTAAAGTCAGGCGCTGACTATGGGGGTCACATGGCAAGGGTGAGTAAAGAGAACAAAAAAAATTCCCATATCCTAAATAAGTGAAAGGAAATATGTCATAGATTTTGCTTTCATGCAGCTTCAATTGAGAATCTCAAAAGAATGACTCAACTTATTTGGACTAACTCATTAACCATTTTATAATTAGCTTTAACGTAGTCTTAGCATTAACTTCCTAAAGTTGATTTTGCTTTATTGGCAGAGAAGCAAGGTAATCAATCACTTACTTGCTTCCCCAGGAGACCCTCAATTAAACAAAGGCCCAGTCAATCCTACCAGTGGATTTCATTATTAAGCTGAGCACCAGCATCTATGAAGAGGCAGCCACACAATTATCATGGGTATGCAGTCTCCAAAATACCTGGGAAATGCAAGAGGGGGAAAGAGATCCAGAAGCCTGTATTGATTCACTCCTTCCATTAATGAGGAGTTTGTATGTAAGGGGAGATCCATGATCATTTGGGGGAGAGAGGTGCCCATCAGTTTTCTCTTGGCAGTAACTAATAATTGTGTATAAATGCACAACGAGAACTTCAGTACTAAAGTAAAACAATCAATTTCTCTTATGATACTGGTTCATTGTAGCTTCTAAGTATGTCCTAAAGGCAACTATTTCCCACTGGCCTGGCCACAGCAGGCCCTGTCCTGGGGCTGAGGGCATCACATACCTTCCTTCTGGCTACCCGCAGCACTCTGCTGTTGCAGCAAGCTCTGGCTGTACAGAGTGGGCAGTGCGGCTGCCGCATACTGCTGAATTCCTGAGTAGGCCTGGGTGAGGGCGTCCATGGTGCCAGCCGTGCCATTCGTCAAGCCTGTGGCGCCAAGTCCTCCGTTGAGAGCCGCCATACCTGAGAGCATTTGAGCAACTTTACAAAAAACCCAACAATAGAGAAGAGAAATAGCACTTATTCATTAGTGCTTTCCAAAGGAAGTTAGAGAATCATTTGACACAAGTACAACAGCAAGTGCATGCAGCTAGCACACCAATTAAGCCAACAGGAAATTAAAAATGAAACCATGAAGAAATAAATCATAATAATGGGGAAAACAAGACCTAAGCAATGATAACCCTTGCTCCCTAGGCTGGTGATCAAATTCACTGAGGCACTACAGGTGGACAATACATCTTTTTTTCCATGCAATGTGCTACTGGCAAGTACCACTGTTATCTTTTGAAATAAAACTATGCTGCTGTTTAGAGCTCAGAAGCATAGACAAGGAAAAAACAAGAGGTCTGTATATCTGTACACTTACACCCATTCACGGGGCTCTCGGAGGAGCCTGGAGATAGCTCCAGGGGTTAAGGAGAAAAGGATAAAACTTTTTTCCTTAAGCTGTCTGATAAGCAAATGGTCAGTTACTTCACAGTCCAGTGAACCAGCTGTTCTGCTAAGAGGCTTTCCTCAGCAGTTGAAGGATGCCAAGGGCTGACGCACAAACTATGTCCAGAGGTAGAAAGTGAATGGTGCCATTTCTGGCAGCAAACTCTTACTGGGTGTGTTCATGTACACATGACACATTAACCAGCTCCCAGGTACCCAGGATTCCTGTCAGTGACTTTTCATGTCAGGTTTAACTGAAGTGACTTACAGTGTGGCTGTATGGTGGATCATGGCTATTAACTTATGTGAACCAGCCAGTATGTTGTCCCCTGACTGCTGCTCCTCACATTTTTCCTGACTACTAAGTCAAAACAAGTAACAGTTTACACTGTTAACTTTCAAATGAACTCAGGACATGAAAGAGCTGACATAATTGCTTTGTTTCCTCCGTGATTAAAAACTTGGAAGGGAGTGTTAGGGCACTGTGGTGTGCAGCAGGTTGGGCTACTACTTTGGACATCTGCATCCTCCACTGAGTTCAGATTTGAGTTCTGGGTACGCCACTTAGCACTCAGCTTCCTGCTAATGCCCCTAGAAGCAGTAGATGATGGATCAAGTACTTGAATTCTTGCCATGTGGGAGACCTGGATGGAGTTCAAAGCTCCTGGCCTGCTTACGGTGACCATTTAGGAAGTGAACAGGTAAACAGATTTTCTCTTTTCATATAGGTATTTTAAAACCTTTTTCTTTTGAAAAGGTCTGTTTTTAGTAAGAACTTACTAAAAACATGAAAAACATTTGCTGATATTAGTGCTGAGATTAAAATAGCAAGAATGACTCACTGAAACAAAACTGGCAATAAGTCTATGACTAGAAGACAAATAGGGCTCTAAGAAATTACCCAGAGGAATCAAAGAGCAGGCAGGATCACCATAACACTTCATCAGTGCTACTCTTTGCCATCCACAGGAAACAGGAGCTGGGGAACGACCTGGGCTCTAGAACTTCGTCAGATTCATCTCCTTAGACTGGAAGAACATCCAAGCCATGCAATGGGCCACAGCCTAACAGCCGGGACTGTCCTAGTGCTCCAGGTCCAGCAACCCTGCGGTGGGGTGTGAAGTCACCCACGGGACCCTGGGGGAGAGCACCAAGTACATTCTTCTCAATGCAGAGAGGGACAGTGTGGATGGGGCTACAGGGGGCTGGGGAGGTCGGAAAGATCTGAGGTTGTCTTGTTAGTCTACTGAAAAGTGATTTTAAGATTTGGTCAGTACAGACTAAGCTAAGAGGCTAAGAAGTGCTGTCCAACATAGGTCCTGAGGGCTCTACTTTAAATTTCTTATTATTTCTTCCCCCACGCTCCACCCCGGATGACACAAATAGGTACTGCTCAAAAGCTTAGGTTGTCCTCCTAATGACACTAAACAATCCCTCAGATACCAGCTGATTGCATTGACCTCACTGACTCTATGCTTATCTTCCGTCCTCGCAATTATTATGGCTGACAAGGGCTGGGGAGCAATTTCTCTCTTGCTTATTTGATCTGATTTCATTCTCACCTCCCGGTCTCCCCCCAGTACTTGCGTGAGCCAAAAAACCATGTTTCTTTTCTGAGAGGTGAGAGGTGGCTGTAAAGCCAGGAAGCGCTGCTAAGTTTCCTTGGCTTCATTTCTGTCAGGCTGTTAACAGGTGTCAACGGATACAGCTGCTCAAGCCACGGCCTCAGCTCTCTGGAAGCTCAGATCTCTGTGTGAGAGGAAATTCTAGCAGGGAAGTGAGTGGGAACTGCCATTGTATCTACATCCCACGGCACACTCTTCCAGGTGCACATGGTGGTCGGCAAGACCATGCACAGTATAGCTGCTGCCTGACAATTACGGGCTGGGGACGGAAGCTCCCCTCTGACTAAACTCTCCAGATTCCCCCTGCTGCCCCGGGGAGTGGACTGCAGCTCTCTATTTCCATAATACTTTGTTGGTTTTGTGGGATTCAGACCCTGCCTTCCTGTCACTCTGGTCGCAGCCTTTGTAACTTGCTTGCCCGGAGGGCCAGGGGCACAGGCTCCCTGCAGTGGTCAGTGGCATTCCTAACTCCTTCCTCTTTGGTATGAGCTTTTGTTTTTTTTTTTTTTTTAATTATCCAGGTCAGAAGAATTATCTTTCAACTTCAACCTGCACCCCTCCCCGCTGCCCTTCTACCAGAAAAGTTTTTGTCTTAAAACACAGAAGCAGCAATGAAATTAATGTTCTTCAGTACTAGAAGGGGATTTCAGGAAGCGAAGTGAGGTTGACAGTTCTAGCAAGTGATATCTTCCCCACATCCTTCACCCCTCCTGGCCACGCTTCACAGTGGTTGGCTATGTTTTTGGCATGGCATGTGAAACCATGGGCATAGAATCCCAAATGGGCATCAGTTCAAGCCCTGGCCGCTCCACTTCTGTTCCAACTCCATGTCACTGTGCCTGGGAAGGCAGTAGAGGGTGGCCCAACTGCTTGGACCCCTGCACTCTGGTAGGAGGCCTGGAAGAGGCTCCTGGTTTTGAAACTGCCCAGTGATGGCCACTGCAGCCATTTGGGATCAGTGGATAGATCTCTGTCTCTCTGTATAACTGTGCCTTTCAAATAAATAAATATATCTTTAAGAAAAAAGAATCAGACTTTTTGAAAAAAAAAAAAAAACTTTTCTGTGAAAGGGTCAACTGGATCAATGATTTCCTCCTAGTTCATCTAGACTGCCACATATACTGTGTGAATGAGGAAGGCTGGGAAAAAATGAGAGGTGTGGCAGACCTTTGCAGGGAAGGCCACTGTAACTGGGCTGTGAGCACAGTTGTGCACATTCTGACTTTGCACTTAGTTGCTCTTCAGAGGAGCTCAGCTGGAAGTTCCAAGGAACTATGAAATTATTGAGGAAATATTAGAATGACATAAAAGGACACACTCATAAAAATGAGCATGGATAGCTTTCTGTGGCCATGATCAGGAAGGTACCGGTAGGTAGGATCAGAGGTAAGTATCCTATGCACACACAAGCTAGTCTGTGAGATGCTGTACCAGTAAGAAAGAAGAAGGAATGTATTCATGTATATGTTCTCATAGGTTTATAAATTATTCACTGAGATAAGTTTCCCTTTATATAGATGAAATATGTCCTTTAAAGCTACTCTCCATACGCTGCATGAAAGAGTTCAGGGGCAGGCATTCAGCCTAGCAGGTGAAACGCCTGCACCTTACTTTCAAGTTCATGGGTTTGATACTTGATCCAGCTTCTGCCACCAGCTGCCGACTAATGCAGATCCTAATTAGCCAGCAGCAGTGATGGCTCAAGCAGTTGGGTCCTTGCCAGGTACCTATGGGGAAGGCCTAGGTTGCCATCCTGGCTCCAGGCTTTGACCTATTTCTGGCTGTTGCAGGTTTTGGGAGAGTAGGCTATGGCAGCTCCCTTTATCTTAAATAAATACATTACAATGAGTTCATAAACCATTTTTACCAAGCATACTGTTGGTAGTATTCAAACAATTATCACTTTAAGTACTAGGTAGTAAGCAATTTAGAAGAATTATGTAATTTAAGTGATGAAAAAGAAAATGCTACTTGACATGCACTTAAGTGCAGAAAATTAAGTATGGACTCCTGGGTGAACATAACTGCAAAAAGTATTTTCTTCATCTCTGCTGAGATACTCATTTACAAAACATGCTCAGGGAGCCCTCAACTAACCCAGAAGTGAAAACCCTGGTGGCGCATTATTCTTGCTGCTGCTTTGGATTTTGCTGCGCCCTGTTTCTGTCCAGAGGATGCTCTAGGATGCTCTACTGCTTTTCCAGCCCCTCCATTCATCAGTGTAAAAGGGAAGCTGCTGGTCTACGAAGCCCAGACTGCCCTTCCAGAAGGGGTGGGGCCCTCTCACAGGAAGGAGGGTAAAATGCAGAGTGAGATGAGTTCACAACCTACTTTATTGCTGGATGATTTGTTCTTGGAGGAGCTGTCTTCCAGAATACTCTTACAGTAGCAAGAAATGGTTCCTGGGACAGAAGTAACAATGGTATGGACGCTGGGGTGGCCAACTGAGAAATTGGCTCTGACCAGGTAACGAGCTGTTGATTACCTTCTTTGAGACCTGTTCAGCACAAGAGGTAGCAGTATCCCTTCAGCTGAGGAATAATGATCTGAAAGGCAATAGCCTATCCTAGGTTTTCCCTTGATATTTAATTCAAGATAAGCTGCAAATATTAGCTTGAAGTCAGTGTTCACACTGGCACACAGCTGTTTGTTAGTAACCCTTATTAAATCAGAAGGCAAAATTTTGGTTCACACTGTCTAGCAGGAGTTATCTGAAGCCAAAACCATTCTTAATTTCCCATGAACTATACATACCTCTGTTAACTCAAAAGCAAGGAATTAAAAGAAACAAAATTTAAACCTGTTGTCCTTGCCAGAAGCAAATTTTGAATAACACAAAACCCCATGGATAATAAACTGGTTGTTTTCCTGGCATGTAACAGAGTTCCTTTCCAGTCGTCACAGTAAGGATGGGTAAGGCCCAGCAACGTACAACAGAGTAAGGTGGAGAGGAGCAGGACGCAAACGAGGACACACACACAGCAGTCATGAGCACGTGCTGAGGAGGACAACCATTCCCACTGGCCTGTTACTCTGCAGACCAAGGACAGGCAGGCGATCAAATCAAAGTCCTTGTTTGAGGGGAACTAGGTCCTGGGGCAAGAGAAGCAGCATGAGGGGATGTGGGCGAGCACACCCGTCCTCAACCTAGGTGAAGGATAAGTGGGTTGGTGCTTCTGCAGGACAAGGTCAGAAAGAGGAGCTGTACCGGGAGTCAAGGCTGTAATGCTCCTACTTGGCTGCTGGAAGAGGTCAAAGCTGAAGGTAGTTTTAACTGGAATCAAACATTCTGGTTGTCATACAGTCACCGCTTCTGTACTACAGGCTAATTAGGAATCCTATTTGGAAGAAAAATGTCTTTTCCTGTGCTCAGATAAAACTTAAAAACTCAGTTCTAAGTTTTTGTTTTTGGCTCATCTGAGTAAGAAAATGTAACAAACTCTGAAAATTTCCTACTTCTAAACATGATTTGTTTTCTTATCCAAGTTATAAAAGTTAATTGTTTATCTGGATGAAAGTTTAGGTTTTTTTTTTCAAATACATTCCAAAATTCTTTTTGAACTTTTAAAGTACAGAATTATTGTAATATTTTTGCTCTACGAATTATACTGACTCATCACCCCATTTTAGTTCACTTTTATAATCATACAATCATGGATTAAAATCAAAGATCCCACTATTAAAAACTAAGATGGGCAGGTGAAGGGGTTTCGTGGCTCGTATGATAGGTAACTTGTGACCCCAAATGAGAACCTCTATGGTCTGTCATGAACTTTCTAGATGGGCTTGGCTATTTTCAGGCAGTGGGGTAGAGGAAGCGAGAATGGAGGGACAGGCAAATTAGGTGTCCCCACAGTTATTTAGGGATCACTGTCCCCACTGTAGGAACCCATACCCAAAAATGAAAAGACCATTCCTGCAATTTGATGACAGTTTCCTGTACCAACCTAAAATGACTGCAATGGTTTGCCATGTAGGATAGAACCTAGAGTTCTTTGGTGAATCCCATCTATTTTTTAAGCAAGTGTAATTTTCTAGGTTATCTGTCTTAAACCTCCCCAACCAGCCCACAATAAAATAATGTCTGTGCTGGAGAGTAGTCCATGGCTATGAGTATTAATACAAATTCAAGGTGGATGTGACTTCCAGCAGTAACTTCTTTCCTCCAGGTTTCCTGTTTTTCCAAGGACCTTATTTTGTTCTATGTAACTATCATGAATCTGGATTTTAGAGCTAGAGGGCATCTTTATCGAGTGATCCAGAGCTTTCAATTGAAAATTAAAGCCTAGAGAGGGAGCATTGATTTACCTGGGCTCTGACAGTGACGGAGGCAGGGCAGGGCTCTGGCTTCCTGACTTGCGGTCTGTTGTTAAGTTTTCTATGGTAACACCCTGCCGCACAGGACAGTGCAAAACTAAAACCAAGCCAGACTTCTTGAAACCATGAAAATATCTGTCAACCACAGACAAGTGCATATACTACACCCTGGAAAGTATCTGGGATGGCGAGTGCTGGAATTTTGGGGAGGCAAAATGAATATGTAGATAGCTTTTGCATGTCAAAGCATGTGCTCCTCCATCCCAAGTTTTAGTTCTCCCCTTTGCATATCCTTTTTAAGTTTCTGGCTGATTGTTTTCTATGGAGAATTTGGGGGAAGGCTGTCCACCAGAGCAGCAAATACTCACTGTTTATGGTACCTGCTAGTGCATTAATATTATTCAGTCCAACAGTGGCTCCAGCCAATCCTTGCAGAGTCCCAAGAGAGGTCAGAGAATTCATGGCTGCACCAGCAGTGGAGTTAGGGGTTGAAGCAGCCACTGGAAAACAAGAGGGAGACAAAGCACAAGATGAGTGAAAGCAAACTGGACTGGAGAATAACCTGTCATCCACACAGCAGATGGGACAAGCTCATTAGTTAATCATCGCAAGTCCATGAGTCTTACTTGCGTTTCCAGTGAGAGAGACATATGGCATTGTACTTGTGGAGATTTTGACAATTAGACTGGGTGGTAAAAAGTCATCACAGCTCTGTTTTGCAAATAGAGCAAATCTGCTCATCACTGAATAGTAGTAGAAGGGATCTATCCTGCTGGCTGATCCTTCCTTCACCTCACTTTAGGAACGACTCAATCCTGTATTATAGGCTTCCTTTCTTACTCATGCTTAAAAGTTACTGGAGCAGAGAGCGGGTAGAATTAGTGGGATAAAATGACAGTGGTTGACTTTCTGCTCCTGTTTCAGAAATAGCATTTGCTCAATGAAACCATTGAAACAAACAAACAAACAAAAAATCTTGAGTTTAAGAGAAAACTCTTCTGGACCTAGGTGGTGGTGAGACAGAGGGTTAAGGATAGGAGGTGAAAACATTTGGGTGCAAACCATTTTTCCTCTTTTTATTAAAATAAAAAAAAATAAAAGCTTTATTCACATACCATAACAATACCCATTTAAAATACACAATTTAGTGGTTTTTAGTATGTTCACAGTTATATAGCCATCACCATAAATTTTAGAGTATTTTTATTATCTCCAGAACAAACTATTGTCCATTAAATTCACTATCCATTTTTCCTTTCCTTTCAACACCAGCAGAAATTAACCTACTTTCTCTGTTATATAGCCATCACCATAAATTTTAGAGTATTTTTATTATCTCCAGAACAAACTATTGTCCATTAAATTCACTATCCATTTTTCCTTTCCTTTCAACACCAGCAGAAATTAACCTACTTTCTCTGTAGATTTGCCTTGTCTGGCCATTCCGTATAATTGGAATCATACAACATGTGAGTTTTCCTGACTGGTATGTTTCAGTTACCATGTTTTCAAGATTTATCCGTTTTGTGGCATGCATCAGTACTTCATTGCTTTTTACCACTCAGGAACACTGCATTTAATGGGGTGACACTAACCCAGCTGCGGTTATTACCGATGATGATGTTATGAACACTTATGCACCAAGTTTCTGTGTAGACACTTGCTGTCAACTGTCTTCATATTACTTTCTCCTGAAGATCTGAATTGCTGGATCAAGTGAAACCGTCTGTGTTTTAAGGAACTGGCCAACTGTTTCCCCAGGTGCTGTATCTCCAACTTTCCCTGTGTACTTAAAATTGTTTCTGTCGATAGTTTGAGAGTCTTAGGTTTAGCAGTCTGCCAACCTTTCTCATATACATTATCTTACTTTATCTTGGTGAAGAGGAAAAAGCTAAAGTCAACTCTGACCACAGCTAAAGAAGGACTGGTCCTAGGCTGGGACATCCCAAGTATGTGAACTTCCCTCCCATCTGGAATGACCTGGAATTTGCATCTATCCTCCTGGAATATTCTTGTGCAGGTGAAGCTCTGCCTTCCCCTGTGGTGTCCCATGCTTGGAATTCCTTTTGGAGTACGCCAAGTCAAATGCCTTAAAAATGCATTTCCCATCTGACCATGCTAACTGTCTATATCCACAGCATTAGCTTCTAGAGCCTCAATGTTTCTCTTTTTAAAAGAAATTACATATAAACATTTCTAACCTTATTTTGAAAATTTCAAATACACATAAAAGGAAAAGATAAGAAAGGAAAATCCTGGAGACTCATCCAGATTCTGAAACATGTGAGATCAGACATTTGTACTTTATCTCCAAGCAAGGTTTGTTTTTTTTTTTTTTTTTATAAATTTCACCTTCTTATATCTTATCACTCCTACATAATATGCAGTCCTAAATATTAGGGATTTTTATTTTAAACCTCCAACACCAATTTTATGAATAACAACACTAGCATGAACTTTTTGACTTCATTATGTGGTAATAATGCTTTCTTCATGTCTGCTGTTGAGTAAGGCTGGTTTTCATCTCCCTTCCTGTACTGTCCTTGTTTTGCTTTTGACTTCCTACAATGGCTCGAAGAGTAGTGTTGCTTGTTTTTCTGGAACTTGTGAGATTATAGCTCCTTGTAACATGAATGGTAGTCTGGACTTTCTCATGTGATACTCTGAAAAACTAATTACACTATTCTGATAATAGGATTACACACATGTTTTTCCTCTCTTGAATGGGTTTTATTAGGTTATTGTTTTCTGAGAATTTGAATATTTTAAGGTTTTAAGCATGCATCAGTATGAAAGTATTAATATTCTCAGTATATTATAAAAAAAATCAGAAACAATCACGTTTAAGACTCATTATTTTTGTATCTGCTTGGTTTGTCAGTTCCTCAGAGAAGTACATGCAAATCTCCCTCCATGATAATGCTAGTTTCTCTGTGTATATGTTTAAATTTTAAAAAGCTATTGTGAAAGGTTTGTTATTACTTTCATAGATGTTTGGAAATGATCATTATTTCTAGCTTTGCTTTGAAATCTGCTTTAAGCCATGTTAAAAAGGCAGCACTAGCTTCTTGGGTTTAACTGTATGATATATTTTGCCATCTCCTGTTATCTTTTTATTATTTAGCTATGTTTCTTATAATCATGCATAGACACTGTTTTAACAATACAACCTAATAATTTTTTTAACAGCAGCACTTAGATTTTTTGCTATCTATATTTTTCTCTTTACTTGCTTGAAGCTTGTCATTTCAATTCAATTTTATTCCTCTACCAGTAATGCAAAATTTTTAACTTGCTTCCATTAAAGCTGTGACATTTTTTTTTTATCTTTATTCTCTGCCAGAACAATTATAGGGACTTGGGATACTTTAACTCACAAAGGTCCCTTCCTAAACCAAGTGTGTTGTATTTATGTTGTTATACATTTTAGTTCTAGCCTGATTTGCCTTTTTAAAATAAATTCTCTTATGTAACATTTATTTGTGTTTTTCCACACATTTAATACTTCCTTTGTGTCTGTTTTCCCCTCCAGTTGGGATTAATTATCCTAAAATTTGAAGTACTTCCACTAGAATTTACTGTGATGATGGTCCATTGATTTAAAAAAAGTTTTTTTAGCTTTTGTTTGCCTGGGAATGACATCTTTATTTTGTCTTACTTCATGAAATAATTTTTACTGCATATCCCAGTTTATTTTCAGGACATTTAACTGCCCTCTAGCTTCCATTATTACTGTTAAGATGCTGTTAGGTTCTAGAGGTCTAATTGTGTTTCCCTCTCCCCTTTCTGGCTGTTTTAAAGATCTTCTACTTCTTTGGTGTTCTGTGTATTTTATTATGTCCTGTCCAAGAATGGATTTAATTCATTTTCCCTGTCTGAAAGGTATCAGGCTTCCTCAATATGGATTTTTCTTGTTTCCTTTTCAGATCTATGAAGTTCTCAGACACTAACTCTTCCTATATTTCCTCTTCCCCACTTTCCTTCTTGTTTCCCTCAGGGATTTCAACTAGAATTATTTTCATGTCACTAACCCCTCATCATTTCCCTATTACACAGTCTCCATAATTTATCTTCAACTCACCAAATTATCTCCTCGGTTATATTTAATGTGCTCTTGAAATTACCGACTCATGAGTTTCACCTTTTCAGTATTTTTAACTTTCATCAATATGTTTGGTTTATTTTGACCTTTACCTGCTTGTAAGGCAGAGACAGACATAGATTTCATCCACTTTTCCAAACACCTGTAACAGCCAGGCCCAAGCCAGGATCGCTGAACTCACTCTGGATCTCCCATGTGGGCGACACTCTGGGAACTCCCTCCACAACCTCCTGCTTCTTGCGGCATGCATTCATAGAAAGCCAGCTAGACTCAGTAACAGGCATTCTGATAAGGCATGTGGACGTCCTAATTGATGGCCTGCCTCTGCTTGGACATTTTAACAATCTCCACCTATTTCCCATTTTTCAAATCCTTTTGAATTCCTCTAAGTAAAGTGGTTGCAATTTTTTTTTTTTGCTTGTGTACTAGTAACTGAGCATCTGAGAGGTTTTTTCCTTCATTTAATTGACTGTGGGATTTCTTATTAAATCTACAGCAAAGTAGAATTGGACAAACAGGTCTGGGGGTGGGCACAGCCAGGTGATGACAGCGATAATGTTCAGCAAGCATCGCCAGGAGCAACTTACTCCCTGCTCGAGTTTAGGGCATGGAGAATCAGTGCCTCTTGGAGGGACTGGAGAGTGTCTCAAACCAGTAAGTCAGTTCCCCACAGATTGGCTCAAAGCATTTTATGTGTGGGGCACGGCAGGGGCAGGGTGATGTGGGGTAGGGGGATCTGAACCGCAGTCAGGGATTTATACAAAGGAACTGATCCAATGTAGTTCACAGGCACAACTGTAAGAAGATAATGCAGTACCTGAGGTCTTGGTGGATCTAAATAGGGCACGAAATCTCGCTTCTGCTGTTTTTCTTGGTAAAAATGCAGCTTAACCACTGTGGAACTTCTGTGATATGTGGTCATTAACCTAACTGTACTGGAACTTTATTTCTGGAAATTGTTTAAGATCTGGGTTAAAGATGAGCCCTTTCAGGGACAACACACATTCAATTCTACAAAGTGCCTGAGGGAAGTAAATGCTGGGTGCCACTTTAAATTCATGGCTTGAGGGGTTTCTGACAACGTGAGCCATGCCAGTGCAAGTTTTGAGAAAGGAAATTTCCTTGCAGCTTCCTCAGGGTCAGTGTATATTTTATTTCAGAGTCCAGATGTTTGGGGCTTTTGTTATATGGAGACAGTTTGTTGTTTGCCATCTCCCCTAGATCCGGGAGCTTGTGACCTGATGCTCAAGTTTATCTGGGTGAGCAAATGTCTTTACGGTGAATGCAATCTTCAATGTGTTACTTCTTCACTCATTTCCCTCTTTTGGTTTGTCATTGCTTTCTGAGTAGTCCTTAATTTAAGTAGTTATTGGTGTGTTTAAAAATATGTAGAAATGCCTATTTGGCTTAGTGGCCTAACAAGTGCAACTCATCAGAATGCCTGGTTTTGCTATAGGAATCAGGCTCTTGATTCCCACTTTGCATATCATCCATGTGATACTAAAAATATTTAAAATAAAATCCTTTTTGTTCTGGTCCCGTGTTATTTCTGACAAACTATTTTACACAGCTGGAAGAAACAGAATCCCTCATCTCCACAGCTTGCTCTAGGATTTCTAAGGACTATACTGGACGTCCTTCTACATCTAATAAAAGATTCTTAGCAGTCTTTTGTGCGAGCGGGTAGGGGATAAAGAGCATCCCTGATACATGGTTGTAGTCTAAGTTGGCAAACAATAAAGGCCTGATAAAAAGTGGGCGGTTTCAGGTGACACCAGGAAGCACATGCAGAATGGCACTTTAGGGACATTCTCCCCAGAGAAAAAGCTATAACTGGTGAAAATTAGAAAACTCAATTATGTTAAATCTGGAAATTTTCGCAAGTGTATATACAGAGGAAGAAATATTTTTCTCAAGAAAATTCACCAAATTTCAGTATGAACAACAAGAATCCCAAAGCACGTGAGCCGTAACCGAGACCTACCCCCTTCCCTGGAACTTCCTTCCTCCTGCTCCTAAGCAGAACGCGATGCAAGCTCCACTCCAGGGAAGTATGGTGAAGATGATGCGGACTCATTCCCCTGTAACTCCAAATCTACAGCTATGGCTTCTTCTCAGGAGGAGTAGACTACCAGAATTTTTCCAATCTACTGCCCACTCCCAGCTCATTGTGGTACCAGTTCTACTTAGATCAAGAAGTATGGAGGTGTGTTCTTCCACCTGGTCTCATCTAGGGGTGGAAACCGTACCCCAGGCCTGGCATACTTACAAGGCTGGGCCCCATTCACCCTCACCCCATCCTGCGTACAGAGTGACGATGCTATGCCTGGAGAGGCCAATCAAAAGCATGAGCATTATCACACCCCGTCCTCCAAGAAAACAGACCAGAAGCAGTAAGGGACAGTGACATAGTAGCTGTCTGTTGGAAGGGATGGGGCCTAGGAACACAGCGCTCCACAACTCCTCCTGGCGGGAATGGATTTATTTGGAACAGAATGTGAAAAAGGCTAAATCTAAGATGCTGTCAAAAACACTAAACATTTGTGTGGTGAGCAATTAAGAGGAGGATGGAAGCTCCATGTTCGCAGGGCAGACTAGCTGAAGTGTAACAGAGAGCCAGGAAATAGAAAGCTTGACAAGAGTTTTCTTCAATTAAGAGAGTAAACCTCAAGATCTGGCTCAAAGACTACCCCAACCTGAACTACCTGATCAGGCCAGATGGGGAGGGTGGAGTGGTGGTGCTGGTAATCTACCTTTATATATCAGGGGCAAAAGTGATGATGCAAATAACTACAAAGTAGTGTGGTAATGACAGTCCAGCTAGAAACTTAACAGGTCACGTAAGAGACAGTCAAGTACAGACATTTGGTTGTTATTTATAAAAGGAAAACTAATAAAGTTACTCATAGCCCAAGGCTGTGTCTTCTGAGCAGTGAGACTAGAGGCACATTGCAGGCACTACAGAGACTCAACTTACGATGGGAGTTGTGTTCTGACAAACTCATTGAGCCTGACTTAGAAACACCATGTTTGGGCACAGTGTAATAGCCTAGTGGCTAAATCCTTGCCTTACATGCACCAGGTTCCCATATGGATACCAGTTTGTGTCCTGGCAGCCTCACTTGTCATGCAGTTTCCTGCTTGTGGCCTAGGAAAGCAGTAGAGCATGGCCTGAAGCCTTGGGATCCTGCACCTGTGTGGGAGACCCAGAAGAAGCTCCTGGCTTAGGAATGGCTCAATTTCAGCCATTGCAGCTACCTGGGAAATGAGTCAGTAACTGGAAGATTTTCTTCTCTGTCTCTCCTTTTTCTCTGTAAATCTGACTTTCCAATAAAAATAAATAAACCTTAAAGAAAAAAACAACCAGAATATTCATATACTGCCGCGTTTTGGTTGCTTATCCTTGTGATCACAGAGGCTAGTAGAGAGGTGCAGCTCATTGCCACCACCCTGCATCTCATGATATTCTGATATCCATCTCTTATGGATAATTCTGCATATCAACAGTAGATAAAGATGGAAAAACTCAAAGCACGATTTCTAGTGAATGTTTATGGCTTTCTTATAATAAAGTCAACAAATGCCAAGTTGAATCATCCTAAACTGAGGAATGTCTGTAGATTTCACTGAACTAATATTGCTAAGTCACTAAACACACATACACACACGAGTGGGGGGAGTCTGAAATGTGGAGGGGGTGTGAAGGATCAGTATCCAGAACTGTTCTATTATCTGAAATGTCCAGTTAATAAAATGTTATGGCACATGCAAAGAAACGATGTATGATCCACACACACAGGAAACACACGCAACTCAGAGTGTTTGAGAGGTCCCAGGTGTCAGACCTGCCAGACAAATACACCAAAGTGGCCTTTGC